TAGAATAAGATAATCTAGTTATTTGTTGTTTCTTAGTTCACCCAGCTTTCTTAATTGATGTATAAAAGATTATCAATCACATGCGAAAAAATACCTATTTCCTCCTATTCAAAAGGGGAAAAAGACCTATGGACGGATGCATATTCAGCTGTATTTTTGAAGTGTTTTTGTTCTGTTCTTATTTCTGTTTGTTTTTATGTGTCGTTTAAAAATATTATTATTGTCATTTCAAACAGTTTGTATATCAGTAACTATGACTATCTGTCTCTATTACTTCTAATTCGAATCAAACTTTTGAGACTGTGGTCACAGAATCAAGAGACTGAGTCACCTACAAACTCTTGTTGTTTTTAGTATTTAAAGTTTATTGTCAAGACCTAAACCCGTTTAAAATGACTTAATTGATTATATGACTCATCCTGAGGTCACCCTCAAGGTCATTTGAGAGAATAACCAACAAATGGGTTTCTTTTGATCAATTGAAAAATTTACAGCAAAATAGGTTACTACCTACATATGTAACCCATTGGAACTAACTTCAGTGATTTTGGAATTTACTGGCTTGTTCCCCAATCGTCCGTTGAAATCAAAAGCATGAAAATGTTGAGGACTGATAAGAACAAAATATCTGTTACAAGTGTGGTAAATTCAAGCTTCCATCAGACACAGGACCCTGCCTAACATGTTATCAAAGTTTTTTGTGAAATAATTCAGTAAAACAGTAATAATAACATATATTTCAAATTTTTAGATTGAGCTTAGAATATTTATTTCCTGTTTTCTTCCAAGATTTGTTACTGGTACACATATATGCAACAGTTCAGATCGAAACTTCCATCACTTGAGTTGGAGGTTGAAAATCCTTTTTTTTTAAAGTATTTCACATGCTACAATATGTCTCCACTTAAAAATAGTTTAATATAAACAATTGAATTCATTAGTTGATAAAATAAATATTGTGTCAAACAACCGTCTGTTCTGTGTTCAGATTTCAAGTTGGAAAGTATCATTTATTAGGCACTTCAGAAAAAGCTGAACCATTCCATCAAATAACTCTTGTGTGCCATAGTAATTGTTATTCATTCTTGATAACCTAATCAAAAGCAATCAGACAAACATATGATGATCATTCCTTGAGTTACTGCATTTTCTATTTCGTTCATAGAGTTAGTGGTTTTTAGACAAAACTTCTGAATATTGTTTACCTTCAGCTTTCTTTCAAGTCTTGCCGATTCGTTTTAGAAAACTGGTTCTGTGATAATTTCCAGTCAGATTTACCGATTTCTTTAGATTGTCCCTTTGAAGTTAGAAAATGCAAAACTCCTTTTTATAGGAATTAAATGTTTTATTAAAAAATCGAAACATTTATTATGTAGCAAATAAAAGTTAAACTATCACTCCAACTTTCATTTGAGCTTGTTTCTCAAAAGAACAGACACAAGTCTACTGTCTTCAATCTTTTCATGAGCAGAGTAAAACTTCTGAGTTTTGCTCATATAGGTGTTTATTGGTTGGAAACATTAAGAAGGAGAATCCCGGTTGACAGCCTGTGCACCATAGTGAGTAGTAGCTGGCGTAAGTAAGTTAGTAACTACGATACAATGGAAGCTTGTTTATTAATTTATCAGATTTTAAGGTTGTAGTTTCGCAACTATCAACAATCAGACTGATCTGATCAGTAACTTTCGTTCACCTTGAATTTATAACTTAACCAATGTAATAAAAACAACTTCTTGAGATTACTCAGTATGTAAACAACCGAAAAGACATTTGTCTTTTTCTAATAAATTAATTTATACAGGAAATTTATTCTTCTGTTTGAAGTGTATCCATCTTCTTTATCTATGTAATTCTTGTCTATGTAGCTCGGAACCATGAAGTTATAATTTCCAGAAAAAAAGAATTTGTAACAAATCTAGTATTAGGGTGTTTTTTTTCCTAATAAGCTAAAACATTAAATTCCTGTATTAATCAATCAGTTTCTCTATTCGGTGAAAAACTCAACATTTAAGGCAGAACATTATTGTACACATAAAATTCTTTTATCTATTTATATTAGTCATAGAATTTGCTGTTGTTCATATTAAATATCAATAGTGTCAGATTGATTCATTTGTATTGGTTGCTAGAATCTTCTCACTGATAGTTAGGACATATATTTATATTTCCTGTAAGGATCAGATTAATGTTGCCGATTAAATTACAGGCATTCATAGTAAAGTTGAATAACGGCTGTCAATGGCGCCCAGCACGAGTTTTATCCTATTTAAACAATGAACAGAAATGAATTAATCTTCAACCCATTGCATATACAAGTGGTTGTCCCAATTCAGTAGTTAAGTGGATAATGCATTGGTGTTTGTTGTGAAGGGTATCCATTTTGGGTCGCAGAGTGGACATCGATTCTGGGATGCTGCGACATCCAGCTGAAGAGTCCCAAACAGAACGCAACTCACGTCCTAGACTCCACAGCTAGCAAATACCCATCTCTGATCATAAAACTATCACATTTGCTACTTCCATTCAGTTTAATTAGTTTCATCAATAAAACATGCAGAATCTTGTACATTATCATTTGTAGATTAGTGAGGGTTATCTAAAGTTACGTCATGTAGGATTGTCGCTTTATCGAAACTACTTCATGAACAGGAGGAATCTTGTGGATTTGAAATATTTTCATAAATTATTGCTATTACAAATGGGCTAGAACTTCAACAAGATGCAACTGAGAAGTTGAATTTGAAATGGAATGAATGGAAATGTATTGTGTTATTAAAACAAATAAAAAAGACTTAACTTAATATGCTTAATTGTACAGTAACTGCATTCATAATTCACCACATATTTATTTTATATGACTTCATAAATAAGTACCAAGCAAGTTCCTCATAACATATATATGTTGTTTAATTAGCGTATGATCAATAATCGATCGCTCAAATGCTGATATCTTGAAGGAGATCCGTTGATTTCGGTAATTAGTACTTTTGATGCAAAGTTAGGCGGGTCGGTAACAATCAAACATGTACAAATTATTCGGAACCTTTACAAAGTAACAGTGTTATAAATAATAAAGTCTTATACTGGTTTTTCACAGACATTTAGATACACATGAATAGTAATTTTATCTAAACAAGGGTAAGACAAAATTTGTACTTTTAAACTGTAAATATTTGTTCAATTGTTTTTTTAATAAACTTTTTTCCAATGAACTTTAGCTTACAAAATTGTTTACATTATTTCATCTAAGTAGAATTATTGTGTACAATTTAAATGTTATTGGTATGAAAATTTATTTGCTTTTAAAAAAATTAGACTATATTTCGATCTTTAAGAAAAAAATGTTTTACGAGACAAATTCAAGTGTAGTTGAAACTCATGATAGACATGTGCTACTATGTGAAAAAAGGTTGACATGGTGTTTGAACGTATACGGCTATCACATCGCTAAGTTAGATAAGTAAATCAACATAGTCACAGGAAAAGCATACTTGTTCAGGTTAGCCTGAATTGTTGAGTTCTCGTGTAATATCTTTCTTACGACTGTTACCCCCAATGGAGCATAGGCTACCCACCAGTTGTCTCCAACCAACTCTGTCCTGGGCTTCCCTTGCCAGTTTTGTCCAATACTTGTCCATTCTTCTCATATCTTTCTCTATTTCTCGGAGTAATGTGTTCCTTGGACTTCCTCTTTTCCTTTCACATTGTGGATTCCATGTGAGGGCTTGTCTTGTAACACTGTTAGGTGCTTTTCGCAGTGCGTGTCCTATCCACTTCCACCGCTTCTTCATGATTTCCAACTCCACTGGAATCTGGTTTGTTCTCACCCACAGTGCGTTGTTACTGATCGTGTCTGGCCAGCGGATACGAAGTATTTTGTGTAGACAACTGTTAATAAACACTTGTATCTTCTGGATGATGCCTTTCGTAGTTCTTCAAGTTTCAGCTCCATACAATAAAACTGTCTTGACATTTGTATTGAAAATCCTGATTTTGGTGTTGATTGATATTTGTTTGGAGTTCCAGATATTTTTCAACTGTAGAAATGCAGCCCTCGCTTTGCCAATCTGTGCCCTCACATTTGCATCGGATCCACCTTTCTCGTCGATGATGTTGCCAAGATATGTAAAGGTGTTAACGTCCTCCAAGGCATCTCCATCAAGCGTGATTTGGTTGATGCATGTTGTGTTGCATCGGAGAATTTTGTTTTTTCCTTTATGTATGTTGAGACCTGCTGGTGCAGAGACTGCTGCCACACTAGTCGTCTTCTCTTGTATTTGTTGTTGCGTGTGAGATAGAAGAGTTAGGTCATCTGCGAAGTCCAGATCATCCATCTGCATCCTGTCTGTCCATTTGATACCGTGCTTCCCTCCAGATGTCGACGTTTTCATAATCCAGTTGATGACCAGGAGAAAGAGAAAGTGAGAGTAATCAACCTTGCCTGACAACGGTCTTTACTTCGAAAGAGTCTATCAGCCGTCCTCTGTGAACGATTTCGCAGTTGAATCCATCATAAGAATTACGTATGATGTTAACTATTTCCTCAGGCACCTGTTGCTTTGACTTGTCTGACGGCCATGCTGATCTCTTCAATTGTAGGTGGGCCAACATCAATTGGGAGGTCCGTTGATGCTGCCTCGATGTTATGTGGGCTCAGTTCTCGTGTAATATAATAAAGTTATTACTGATGTCTCAGGCGTTCTGTGACTTCTATTCATCTTGATTGATATCAAATAATACCCTAATGCTTTGGTTATACATCTACATATTGTTGGCTTTAGACGAATAAAGAAGCTTTTTATTGATAAAAGGCTACTGGACATTCTTCTTCGGATTTCTCTCATGATAAACAAGAGGTCAGATGAGGAATTATCATTGTTTAGTAACCAAAATGTTTCCTTTTTTCGATTGGAATATGTGTCTTGAGTCCCTTGACACTAACTTTTGCAGATTTCGAGATCACTAGTAGGGAAATATACATATTTTAATAGTTTTTACCGATGCTTACTAGTAATAGTGGCACTGAAGCTATCACAAAAAAGTATACTAATCGATTTACATACGATGGAACATATATTGAGTCATTTGGTACCAAAATAAAATTTTATATAGAGTGAGTGACTTTAAATAAATCTGTAGAATATTGGGGATATTAGTTAAATTCTGAGAGAGGTAAGGAGAATTTCTTATTCCAGTTGACATGATCGACGTGCTGATTATTTAGGTAATTAGTTTATTTTTTTGATGTATCTCTACTTATAATGCTTATGATTTCACGGCTACATGGAGGCGATCCACATCGAATGTACATATTGCCAAAAAGACTGATCAACTGCAGTTCTAACTATCAATGGGAAAATTCAAGCGACCAATAAAAACGAATGAATTTCTGGTAATAATACATTTATGCCAAATCAATCTAAGGTTGTTTGGATTGAATTATAAAAGCTGACGGTCTGGTGACTGACGAAATCTCAGCTCGGATACAGAAAGCTCGATTGGTTTTTGCCAACCTACGTCACTTATGGCGTAGGCGTGATATCCGTTCGCTAACCAAAGGGCGGGTGTACTGCGCAGCAGTTCGTTCCGTTCTCTTATATGGCTGTGAAACATGGCCGTTAAGAGTAGAAGATGTTCGTAGGTTACTAGTATTCGATCATAGATGTTTAAGAAGCATTGCTCGTATATCGTGGGACACCCGAGTAAGCAATGTTGTCGTTAGGAAACGAGTACTAGGTAAGGATGGCAGATCAATAGATGAAGTGGTGAAACTTCATCAGTTGAGGTGGTTGGGACATGTGTTACGTATGCCTAACCACCGACTGCCTCGAGCTATGTTTTGTGGTGTAGGAGTAGGTTGGAAGAAAGTTAGGGGCGGCCAGACCAAAACATGGCACAAATCCATGAAGTCACTGACTAGTGGACTGAGTCATGTTGGTAGATGTAGACTACCTGGTTGGAGTCCGCGAGACGAAAGTCATCAATGGTTAGAGACCTTGAACGACATGGCTCAAAATCGTTTGCAATGGCGCAGGTGCATCCACTCTCTGAACTCTCTCAAATCCTAATCTTCTGGATTCGTTAGCACCTCTACATTTGTCTTTCTAACCTCATCTCACTGAATTATATTTTTTTGAAAAATATCTTCGAACCCTAGTCTTCTTTATTAACATTAATACCTCTACTATCTTTATCACTATGGGATTTGATTTGACATTTGCGTCTCTGTGCTAATAATGTGGTATGGCAACATGAACTTATGTACATACGTACGAAGTTCTACGTTGCAACTGACTGATAAAAGTTGAATGCTTCAGAAATCAGGAAAGTTAAATAATAGACAGCATTAATACTGGTTTTGTGATGCAAAATGAACGCTCATTAGTGATTAGTTGCAAAATGAACTCTTGGGGTTCTAATGCCAAGTCGTGATTGGAAAAATGCGATAGGTATCATCAATAGCATTGGATGATGATTACATTATATCGTAAACTCGCTGAAGATAATCATTTTATATCCTATGTTAAACACAATAAATTCACAGAGGAAGACCAATGCATTCTCCACAGTTTCCAGGGTTTAGTGTTGGTTCGGGTTATTTTATTAAAATTTTTGATTGACGTAAATGGTATTTGTTCAAATAATTCATAATAAAAGAATTCACCGTAATAGATATAATTGGATAATGGTATTTCATACTAATCAACAAATATACCAAACAACATACAATCCAAATTTTTATCTAATCTGAAGATGATAATTTACTTTTTTGTTATGTACAATGAATTACGGATAAATGGATATTAAAGTGATAATATGTGTAACAGAGTAGTTCGTGCTTGTCGATAGGAAACCTTGAACCTAGTTTTCAAGCTGTTTGGTATTCATCAGTGAGGTATACCTGTAATCTTGAAGGTACAAATACTCTCTATGTTATTCGATCTAAGTGACATCTTAATGATCACTCAACCGTAATACCATTTGCAAATTTTGTTTAGGAACAAGTTGATTTTAATTGAAATGCTTTAAAGCAAACTTATTAATTTACATGAACTATTTTATCGACAGAAAATACCTTAATATACTTAAATTCACTGAAAATACAGTTGTAAACCAGTAGTTGTACAAGTTGGAAATAATCCATGTATTATTTATTGATTTATTAACATGACCACTACACAATTTTGCATAGTAACCAGGGTGAACTTCTTGATCATTAGACCTTATTTCATAATGGGAAACAGGGGATAAACTATTTCTCAACTGTCTATTCTTGAGTAATAAAACTTCGTTTCCAATCTTTTTAAAGTGACGTTTTGTAATGACTAGTCAGTTTGTCGTATTACACTTGCTATTGCATTGGGATCTCCTTTGTCTACAGTTTGGACTCCAACAGTTACAAATGATAACGTAATTACTTTTCGCATAATTATATATTATTTAAGGCTGTTGGTTTCTAACTTCTTCTTTTTCTTACCTTAATGATAGCTTTGTCCTTTTTTGCGATTCATCATCCAGATTGACTGGGTCTTTGTGAACTTCTTAAATTGAAAACCAAACTTTTCAACTATGCATATAAAGTAACGGAGTTTTGTATGACGGTTGCTACTCATCCAACAAGTACTGAGTGTCTTAAAATCTTACATTTTACTTTACTCACGTCTTCTAAGAGCTGATTTGACCAATATCGGTCATGTCGGTTTTCTATAAACGTTTCGACATTATGTGATAATATTTTGATCATAATTACTCTCCTCTCATTTCCGTATGTTTTCAGTTGTTCATGTTGCTATGACTGTTCATTGATAATTCTATCCAGTTATATTGACCGTGCTACCTTAGTTATTAGTGTAGTCACTTGACGATCTACTTTTTAATATACAATTTGTTGACATGCTTCATCCATTCTATTGTGATTCACATTTACGACCAGTTTTTTACTCCCTATTGTTATGTAGGGTTAAGTAGATTAAGTAGTTTTTTAGGTATCTCAGAGAAGAACAGATATTTTCTGCACAGATCAGACAATTCAACTTCGGATTTCAATCCAGTTAAGATAACTCAGTTTGTAATTGTAAGAAACTGGTTAGTTTGAGAGGCGTGAACACCATCCCGGCTATTAGCTCTTTTCTATGGAAAACCACTTGGAAATGGTTGGAAATTTACGCCCTTGACCACTAAAAATTGTATCGGTCAAGTCAGCAGCCTCTGGACATGTTCATCATAAGTTAATAGACAGACACAAACGAAAGTGACTTGACCTCAAGTCATATGTTTTTCAGGCTTCTATTTGATACGATAGACATATGAAAAATGACATGTATGATTCAGTGACCAAGAAAATCTGAAACATGATTGGTGCATATCTTTTGACCTTTCACTGTTCCAAGGTCAAATTATCTGACTTTGTTTAATGTTTCTTCCCCCATAAACCATCCATTGGGGTTGCTCTTTGGTTTCGGCAAATGTACAGTAGTACTCCTTCTTAAGGTTAGTTGAATTTAATGGGCATTTGTATGTGTTGGGTAGCTTAGGTGATTTTCTGAATGATACATGCTAGAACTAAGAACAACGTTGATGTTTACATGGTTGTAAATCCAGATTAAATTAATCGTTTTCCTTGAACAAATTTACTAAAGTAAAATACTTAAGCTATTGCACCGTGTCTAAATATGATTTCGAAGTATATTTCAGATGTTGAAAAAATGTCTGCTTACACAACTTTATCCTTTAGTACTGTTAGATACTTTTCGTTTGGCTGTAGATTCTTCTGAACTCCTGTGTCAGAGTATTTGGGACTCATTTATCACAACCTGAAGGCAAACTATTGCGTCAGGACCGGTCTGCATCATTGGCTAGTTAGACCATGATAAATGAAGTAGTTTGATGCAATGGCCACTTTACTTTGAAGTCCTATCGGCTCTAGTGAATCCGTGACTGGTAAAAATTCACAAGGATACAAGAATATTGTTTGTATCCTGCCAGGTTGCGTCATTTGTAAAAATCATGATGTCTATTTAGCAATCTCTGTGAGTTTAAAGCATTCCATCTAAGTGTAAGATGTATTTACGTCACAATTATCCGACTATAGATATATTACGATGCTATCCACGTCTCGTGATACCGTCGAGTGCAAAAGATAGAAAAGGTAGTGGCAATAGATACAAGTAGACAACTATGTAGACTTATCGAGGAAACGCGTATTAGAAAATCAACTGCAGTGAGAATCTCGGTAAAAGATATCACTATTCATTACCGAGCTAGTAGATTGAATCGATGCACGGAAGCAGTTCAGTTGACCTGCAACAACACTACAGTTAACCATCATTTCCAGTCAACCTAAGTAGTAAGTTGGTGTAAATCCTTCAACTCTTAATGAGGTTGAAAAAGATATAGAAAATCTGAAGCGAGGGAGAGCAGCAGGCCCTGAATGATTAATCGCTGAGATTTGTAAAATCGTTGACAATGGCGCAGTTGCATACATTGTTAATATTCCTTCAAATTGTAATCTGAATTCCTCATCACCTCCATCTTTCCTTTCTTAAATTTATTTCACTAGATTATACTTCTTGAATAATTTCTACGAATCCTAATCTTCCCCATATCCACTAATACTTCTACTGCCTCTACTACTATGGGATTTGAATCGATAATTTGGTCTCTGTGCTAATATGGTGTGGCAACTTGAACAGATGTACGTTCGTCCGAAGTTCTGCGTTGTAACTGACTGACTGACCAAGTATATAATACTTTTTGTTAGACGGCTATTCGGTGGGAATATCAAGTCAGTAGATAATGATACAAATCTTCGACCTCGGTAGTCGGGGTGTATGTTGCACAATGGTAACAACTGCCTTTTCCAAGGCGCAATACTAGCTGGCGTCAGTAATTTTAGTTATCCGTTCTGTCTCAGCCATGTCGTTCATGACATATTTTGTGGTTGGAAATACCTATTGACATTGCATGTAATCAGCATGATTGTTTCGTCAGTCAGTCAGTCACAACGTAGAACTTCGTACGCAAGTTCATCGGGTCAGGTTGCCATACCGCATTAGCACACAGACTCAAATGTCAGCTCAAATACAATAGTGGTAGCGATAGTACAAGTATTAGCAGTAATGGAGAATAGGGTTCGAAGATATGATTTGAGAAGTATAATTCAGTGAGATAACTTTAGAAAGAGAAAGATAGAGATGAGGAATTCAGGTTATAATTTGAAAGAACACAAATGCATGCACCTGGACCATCGTAAACGGTCTTAGCCGTCGTTCAAGGTCTCTAGCCATCGGTTACTTTCGTCTCGCGGACCCCAACCAGGTAGTCTGGATCTACCAACATGATTCAGTCCACTTGTCAGTGACTTCATGGATTTGTGTCATGTTTTGGTCTGGCCACCCGTAGCTTTCTTCCAACCTACTCCCGCACCACAAAACATATATCGTGGTTGCTCATTCGTAACACATGTCCCTACCACCTCAACTGATGAAGTTTCACCACTTCATCTATTGATCTGCCATCCTTACCTAGTACTTGTCTCCTAATTGTAGTGTAACGCGTGTAATCAGCAGTCACTGAAGGGCGGATGGGATCTAAAATCACAACACACAAGGTTAGTTTAACATCTCACACTAAAAGAGAACACAAAGTGGTTGCCACGGCACTCGTTTATTTTTAAAAATTGAAATCCTCGGAATCTTACAGAAAAGGGTCGCTATGGTACCAAAGTCTTAAGAGTCATCCTGTATGTCCAGACCACTCAGGGCTTGTTCTTCAGCTTCCAAATGTTTACGTTTGATCGCCCTGAAATAGAAAGAAAACAGGACGGGTTAGCAACATCATACATGGTGACTTTGACTCTGTTACAGTTGCATTGCTTACTCGGTTGTCTTAGGATATATGAGCAATGCTCAGAAGACATCTATAATCGAATACTAATAACCTACGAGTGTCCTCTACTCTGGCCATGTGTCCCATCCATAAATTTGGACCGAGCGAACTGCTGTACAGTACACTCGTCCGTTGGTTAACAAACGGATATCTCGCCTACGCTATAGGTGACGCAGGTTGGCAAAAGCCAATCGTGCCTTTTGTATCTGTTCTGAGATTTCGTCAGTCGTCAAGCCATTAGCACTGATGAGACTCCTCAGATAACTGAAGCGGTCAGTACGCTCAACTACTTCACTCCCTATCACTAGTTCAGGTGTCGATGCAACGCAATCTTAATGCAACGTTTGCATATCGATGATGAGAACCGCATCCCAAAAATGCTTGCATTGTTGCTTAGGGTAGTCAGAAGACTCTGCATTTTGTCAGCGTCTTCAACGAATAGAACAATGTCATCGGCGTATTCTAAGTCAATAAGCGAGCCTCCTGGTAGAATGTCCACCCTTCAAAAGTCTAACGAGGATAATGTGAACTGTAAAAGCATATCTTTGACGAAGTTTTACAAGAATGGAGAGAGTGGACATCCCTGACGTACACCACCTGAAGTAAAGAATTCCGATGACAGTAGTGGAGATCTTAGGAATCCGAAGTGTGGCTGAAGGCCAGTTGAACTGATCCCTGAAGTTTCCCGCACATCGATCGGCTTCTACCTAATCTTACGGTTTACCTTACTAGCAGATATCACTGCTGTTTTCATAGCCGTTTGTATATCGTTCCAGGCTGCATCCGAATGGGAATCAGTTACATAGCTACATAACTGTTTTGTAGTTATTCCCTAAATATATTCTAACCTAAACTTTCATTAAGTATAACCCTAAGAGGCTTTCTTACGGTGTCTTTTCTACGTCCAATAAGTCACAAACAAATATGCGCTCGCGCTAGAGCATTGTCTAACTCTAAACATGTGCCACAGAACAAAACTCCATCGGTGGCTGATGGCAATGTGATAAAATTGGGTCTATCATTGTGTCGGCTTAGAAGTCGCCACGTCCAGAGATGATTTTCTTTTTGCTTAAAGTTAGTGTTTGCTAGAAATAGGCGGTTATCTGAGCACAGTTGCAACAGACGGTCGCCATTGTCTGTTCTCTGAGCCGCGAGACCATAACATCCACCTAGGTGTCTTTCATTTTCACCTAGACTACCTACTTGAGCATTGAAGTCACCAGCCATTATTACTACATCAGAGCGCCTAACCTTTTGGAGGAGGTCCGACAACTTTCTATAAAACTCATCTTTTACCTCGTCTGGACTGCTGTCAGTGGGAGCGTAAGCAGATACGGCGTAGAGGCGACCTTGACTTTTCCTGCTTCTGGTTCCTTACTGTCCCGTTTAGTCGGACAGCGCACAAGCGACTGTCATCTGGGATCCAGTGTAGGAGAGCTAGTTCAGCCCTAGGACTCAGTGCTATACCTATACCAGCGAGTCCCTGGGAACCAGCATCAGCGCTTCCAGAAACAGCATAAACCGTGTTGTTTCTTTATCTGCACTAGGTGAAATCAAATCGATGATTTTACTCGGATCTTGTATGCGTGTTTCTGAGACACCACATTCATCTATGGCGCACTAAGGAAGCCTGATGCCTTATTTGACACAATGTCCGGACATTAAAAGCTCCAACATGTAGTATAGAACGGGGTTTCAGGAGACCAGGAATAACGTTTCGGGAACTCGAATCGTTTGCATTAGCGGAGCGGGGTGACAATGGGGTGTGAGAAAGGTGATTCGTGGAGATAAGAGAGATATTAGGGGGTTTAGGAAGGATTTGTTGTGACCAATTCGGTCTCGCGTGCTGTTACGGGTATGAGGGCGGTTGTCACTTCCCAGCTGCCCACACTGGAAGGGTGTTTCCTGAGTAGCCTGAAAAGGATGGTAGATTAATGTTGGTCTTAGAGACCTGGGAGCGTTGCTGCAGAACCGAAGGGACAACTGCTTAAGGCTGGTCACGCACGGCCTTTTTACGGGTAGTATTTAATGTGTTAGCTCTGTTCTTGTTTAAAAGCCCTGATCGCCGGAGTCGGAAATCCGTGAGGTAGTGTGAGGTGTGACATTTTTAGGGTCGACCTTTTCTAACCCTTCCTTCCCTGTGAGAAGGCAGCATCGCTGCAGATGTTGGTTGTCCGAAGGAAACACCTTACTGCTGTCACACCCCTGGCATGGTATGACCTACAGGAACATACGTTCCAGCCAATATATCTCGGTTGGGTCATCATGATAGGCAAGCCTGACCACCATGACAAGGTAGCATCTATGGTGAGAGTATTGTTTCATGTGGTGTATTTTATAAACTGTGATATATTGCCCTCGCAATGTGTCTCTCCCGTCAATCTAGACATCTGCGAACATATGTTACACAGGTTATTCATTTCTCGGCATCTTCAACTTTAGTTCTGTATATCGTTTACATTTTAGACACCTAATGTAAGTTTTTATTCCACACAAAATAACTGTTAACTGCTGAGCGTATTTGAAAGCTTTGATTGATCACTAGTATTAACGTTCTTCTAACTCTTAGGTCAGTTCTATGGATTTAATATAGGCTTCAAGGT